GTCTCAAGTGAACCAACGTTTATCCACCAGGCGCTGACTTTAGATGATTTCTGGTAGCAATTCACCCGGACATATTGACGTGAATCGAAGATAGTCGAGAATGAAGCAGATTTTCAGCGCAACGTATATTATTTTGAATTTAACAATAAAGCTTTGGTGTAAGTAGTGTTTGAATTTGTATCAAAAAATTATTTTTTACCTGCAAAATAATTACGGTTTATCGCGGCAGACACTATCCTAATTCCTTTGCGAGTATGTTCATTCCTGTTATCTTTCCAGGTGTATTGGCTGACAGTGATGTTTCACAGTCACCTCAGGCCGTGACAGGGAATGAAAATGGAAACGTATCTATGGAGTGCAACACCACTGTGTCCGGCCCAACCTTTCATTGGTACACACGGTATGGAAACGGTCCATCCGGTTCTTGGTTTTGGGAACAAAGACATCAATATGAAGGACAGGATAAGCGCTTTGGCTAATACAAGACAGAGAAACTGCACTCTAACAATCCAAGACCTTCGGGTGACAGACACCGCCACTTACTTCTGTGCGGAAGGCACAGTGCTGTGTGTCCAAGAGGTACCTGTACAAAAACATGTTGGTTTTACTGCAGCTCAATGGTTAGAGCACTCGCTTCGCAAGCGAAATAATTGGGTTCAATACCGGGCAGTGCCAAATGTTGGCCAAGTTTCGTTACTCCACATGCGTCTGTATATCCAGCGGTAAGTCGGAATATGGTTGTTAGTTGATTGACCGATCGCTTTTCCGATGGTGATAATTCCTATAAAGAGAGAACAAAATTCAATCCACAACTGTTTGTGGGACACTGCTGCGCGAAAACGGCTGCGACATTTCGCCCATAACATAAACAGTCAATTTACTTCACCGTAAAACCTACCAAATGCTATGTGTCATCGAATAGGTGATGAAGCGCTATGTTAAATGCAAAGATCCTTATTATTTTTAATGGTTCACTGAGGCGGAACGAGGAACCCGATTCACAGCAGTTTGGATGATCTCTTTGTTCGGGTGTAATAATCCATCAACAAAATGGATCACTCGATCAAAGACTGTTTGAGAGAAGCTGCACTATGCACTTGGCTGCCGGGTGTTGTCCACAAAATACACTGTCGATGCACTTTACACGGTACCCTCTGAGGGTAAATCGTTAAGTTAATTACAAGCGCTTTTATGATAACCCAAAGGTTGGTTTGGATAATCATAGTCATAATCATAATCAATGGTTTCCACATATGTCAGACACCAGTTTAACAAAACTATATGATGATGTATGAAGGATCATTACGCGAAATAATTCGTACAACACAGTAACTGGCAGAAAGTTTCCAGCCGTCGGCACACACTCAGGGGCTTCCACTTAATACAACATCCGACCTCGTTTTAACCATCTATATCACAATGAATCTTGACATTTGATACAGCGCTACATCTCGTCTCCACGATGCCTCACAGCACTGCAGAGAATACAGTATAATGTGTCGTGACTGTGAATTGTATGGGCGCACCTCGGGAACCAATTTCACGCAACAGTCGCGGTTTCAGGGATAAAGTTTTGAGAGGTTGTTAACAGGACTTGTTTTTCAAATGTGCTCACCACATCCAGCACTGCTTGTGAGACAACTTGCCTGCACATGGGCTGCCGCGTTTAGTCCACATAACAAACAGTCACTACTGTTTAATGCACAAACTGAGAAGCGCTATGGGAGTTCACAGTAACTTGATCAGGAACTATATCAAATGCACTGATTACTGTCACTATAGAAGCAGAGATGTGAAAATCTGCTGTTTGTGAAAGGCGGGGGTTGGGGGCTCGGGGGGAGGGCGAGGAGGGATTGTCCTGCCATCGGATAGTTGGCATAACAAGCGTGGACCTGAGTAATAAAAGACAATTAATAAGTACATGATCAGAGTGTCGCCCAACAGAGATTTACCTGCCCCGAGTCTTGTTTCGTGGCCAGTCTCCGCCTCGTGACATGAAAAGTTAACTGATGAGGATGAGTCCTTCAAGGGAACACAAAAGTGGAACTCATGTACAGGCATTGGAGGAATTTAAGGAGGGAGTAACTTGCTCCATGTGTCAGACACCCGGTTCTACAGAGACATGTCAGTGATGGAAGAGAACCAATGGAGGAGCGAGATGGCAGAGCAGAGAAGATGAAGAGCAACGAGAGAGACACAAGTTTAGCACGTAACCCTCAGACCTGCTCCTTCACGGCATAGGGCAACTTCTGTGTATGATTTCTTATTCAGCTCATCACTGTATCGTACTTCCTCTCAGCCAACATTCTCCAACTACGCCACCAACGCTCTCTCAACACCCGGCGACATTAAATACATATGACAATGTATATCTATGTGGCATCCGCCATCGTTATCTTGTCAGGTAAGCCATCAACTCGCTCAAGAAGTCTCTGTCCCGCAGATATTGCCCAATGCCTATTTTATTGCATTAGATAAGCAAAACGCTACAGGAAATTTGGCGTTATAGAGTCCTGTAGCTCAGTTGATATAGCACTCGCATCGCAAGAGAGAGGACCTGGGTTTGATTCCTGGTCAGGGAGAAACCTCAGGGGAATTTGGTTACTACGAACACACGACTCTGTTTCAATAGCTGTAGGAATCCGTTGTAAGTGAATTTGCGAATGGATTTTCATGGTAGGAAAATCCCTACGATTTTATTCACGATTCATTCAATCAAACCACGACTGTTCGTGTGCTATTGCATAATTGTGTGCTGCGTTGGCCCAAGAAATACAATTAAAATGTTTTCTGCGACGTACTTTGTAATGTTTCGAAGACACGATGAGTCGTTGTATCAAATAGAGGTAAAGTATTATTATTAACGTTCTTATTGTATTGAACGCTGATTTCTGTCTTGTTCCCAGGATATTGTGGAGGAGATTCTGTGACACAGCTCCAATCTGCTGTGACAGTGAATGAAGGAGAGGCTGTTTATCTGCAGTGTAACTACACAGCTACAACCGGCAGCGATGCATATCTGTTCTGGTACAGACACTATCCCAACAAAGCTCCAGAATATATCCTTAATACCTACATCAGGAATAACAAGCAGCAACGTGCAGACTTTGCAAAAGAACGTTTCTCAACGAATGTGTCTAACGCGGAGAGAACCGTTCACTTGAATATATTCCAAGTGAGACTTACAGACTCCGCGGGGTATTACTGTGCACTGAGCCCCACAGACGCACAGATCAGCGGTTCCTCCCTACAAAAACTGTCAGGTGGAGTCCTGTAGCTCAGTAGAGAGAGGATTCGCTTCGCTTTGTGCACGTTTCCTTATTCCACGAACAACTCTGTTCAACGAGCAGTAAAAGAAGGAACCCGGTTGTTATTCGATTGGCGAATCGATTTCCCAGAAGTAATTACTTCTTCAAAACAATAATATTAATACTGAAGTGTGCACTCAATCCAGTGGGACATTGATGTGAGCAATTGACTGCCGCGTTTCACCCACACAATATGCAGTCAACTCGTGTACAGTCTATTCTGTCAAGCGATTTGAAGGGTCTTGAATACGAGATATGGCGCGATACCAAGTGAATTACTGCAATGAATGTTATTATCATTATTAATTATAATAATGCTACATTCACATAAATAACTTCAAACGTCTTGCTTCCCTGGGAGTCTCGCCACGTGTGCATGTCCATCTGTGCTGTTTAAATAAGTAGACGTTCATCCGAAACAACAACTTTCTTTTATACAGCAACATTCACAACTGGGAAAGAAAAGATTGGCTGCGAACTATTTGCTTTCAAATGCCTCCAACTGTGCACGTGCTTTAGCTGCAATCCACCAGCAGATGGTGCACCAAAATATATAAGCTGAGCTGCAACTCAGATAACTTGTCAGGTTCCTTTCTGTAACTAATTGACTTGTCAGCAATAACAGATTGCTTCCTGTTACAGGTGACATACTTCCATCTTATACACTGTTACTGGATCAACTGTAATTTACAAAGATTTGCCTACGGCGTGGCCTTAGGTTACTCAAGAAGCAATTAAAATTTCTGATTCTATGCTTTATTGTCTTTCTCCCAAGTAAGCAGCCGCACTTTATGGTGAACAAATGTACTTCATTTTCTTAGCAGCAATATGTTCGCTTGTTTTGGTTTCAATGCAGAAGAAGATTAAAGCTGACTTTGTTCAATATGGTTTAGGTATCTGAGTTTGCAGGTTCCTTATTTTGTTGCAATGATAAGAAGATTTGGTCATCGATAACAATATTAACAATAACAATATTACTTGCCTTTGATACAGCTCTTTTCAGGTTGGAGGCGGTTCCAAGACTTTACATCGTATTCATGTAAAAAGCATTGACTGCACATTGTGAGCCAAATTATGAAGCAATATTCAAACATTAATTTCCCCACGAATATTCATAACGTCTGTGATCGGCTTTTTCTGAGTTTTGAGGACATCGCATTCCACACACAGTCCTGTATTTGACTTTCAGTCGAGACTGTGAGCTCAAAGTGCCGACATGTCTCCTGAACCAACAACATTCTGACTCAGAATAGAAACTATCATCAACGGGGAAAGGCTGTCACCTCAGCTTTGATGGTAGAAATTAAATCTTCAACCACTTAGGTTGGGCTGCATTGTTGAACATCAACCAAACTAATGCTTTCACAGGAATGATAATAGACATTGCACTTTATACAGCGACTCACTACTATTAGAGACGTCTCAAATAGCATCACAGAATATAACGTAAAGTACATTCTTTGTGGGTGAAAGGCGAATCGATGCTCCCATCCAATCCCAGGCCCATTTGCTCCCAATCACCAGAAGATCAAATTTAAGATCCTCTAGTGAGTGGGAAACGCCTACAATTGGAGGTAATAAACGACTGAACACATCACATCAGCAGCTTCTTTACAACTTGTCACTGAAGCAGCAACACAGCGATATACAAAGGAAGAGATCCCATTATCTGTCCACACCTCAGCAGCCAACATGACAGCTCTGTGCCAGTTACTGATAGCCATCCTCACCATAGCCAGTAAGTATATGTGGACATGCCCAGCCATGACCTTTACATTATATTACATCAGATGCTTAATGTTTAGAGCACTCACCTCACAAGCGAGAGGACCTGTGTTCGATTCTCGGGCAACTCGAAATTTCCAGCAAATTTGCCTAAACCTCAAGCCTCTGTTTACCGGCAGTAACTGGGAACCTGGTTGATAGTTGATTCAGGGATAGCTTTCCGAAGGTAATAATGCATTAAAGAATAAATCAATCAATAGTAATTTCGTCAATCATTCCATGACGGTTTGGGCGACAACGCAGCGCTTAATTAGCTGCAACGTATCTCCCTCAAAATATGGAGTCAATTCTCATAAAAATTTATTCTGTGTGCGCTTTGAGACGTCCAAACCGTGTGATAACGAGTTATAGAAACGAAATTATTATTATACTTATTATGATTGCAAATCTCCACTGAACGTTGCTCAGCAAACTGTTGTTTTTGTACTTGCAGAAGTCTCCGGGCAAGATGCAGTCACCCAATATCCTCCCGAGATAACAGATTTTGAAGGAGAGAACGTGACAATGAACTGCAGTTATTCCACAATAAACGCTGCCTTCTGGTACAGGCAAAATCCAAATGGAGCTCCTCAGTACCTGTTCAGGATATATTCCTCTGGAAAGGTAGACAGTCCTCCTGACCGTTTCACTGCCGAGCTGATCAAGGAGAAAAAAGTAATTAACCTGCAGATACTTAGTGATGTTGTGGGTGACAGCGCTGTGTATTACTGTGCCCTGGACCCCACACTGTCACAGGAAGACAGGTTCCCCGTACAAAAACTCAGCAAACACTCAAGAACTTAGGCAAGTTTCCTTGGTCGACATACTCACCAATATTTACCTAGCAGGGAGTAGGAACCCAGCTGTTAATCGGTTGGTGTATCGAAATTTTTCTTAATAATAATAATATTCCCTTCATAAGGAAATAATTAAAAGTTAGTCAATATACGACTCTTTTTGGGTAATTGCTGTGCATTAAAGGCTGCAGCGTTTCGCAAATAAAACATAGTGCATATTGCCTATCAGGTATGTTCAGCAACAGGCTTTGAGACTTCTCGAACACGTGATAAGGCATTGGAAATGAATTTGGCGATTTAATTTCCAAGAGTTACCACAAGGCACACTCTGACGTTCCTAAACTTTTGCCTATTCCAAAAATTCAATTGACATATTCTCTTCACTCTTGAATCTGAAAATCATTTTGAGATGTCTTCAAAACATATTAGTCGCTGTGTCAAGGGCGAGGATCACGATTTTCATTAATGCTCTCCGTATCTCAGTAAACAGAATTGGTAATGTTAGAGAGAAAGATCGAGGGTGAGAAAGAGAGAGACACAGAAAGACACAGACAGAGAGTGAGAGAGAGAGAGAGAGAGAGTGAGTGACAGAGAGAGGGAGAGAGAGAGAGGTGGAGAGAGAGAGAGAGAGAGAGAGAGAGAGAGACGACAGAGAGAGACAGAGAGAGCGAGAGAGACAGAGAGAGAGAACGCATTCCTCTCCAATATATGGAAAAATTCCAGGTGTAGCGTGGACGCATTGAAATTAATAAAGAAAAAAATATAAAAATTAGATTTTTTTCGAAGACTTTGTCACTCTAACCACCACAGTTTGTGTGACACTGATGTGTGCAATTCGTTGTTGTGTTTCGCGCATATAATATAATATATCAAAAACTTGATCATTATATATTCATAATGATAGTGATAGGTATCTACATATTTCATACACCAGCTTAACAACAATAAATGTTAATATATGAAGCGTCATTCAGCGAAATAAACAGCAGAGAAAAATAAATTGTCGTCATGAATTATGCCACAAACAATAGTGTCTTGTACCCAAACTTCTGAAACCCAGATGCATAGAGCGGAAATGGACCGGAAGGAAACTTTCAACTAATTGGGGCAGAAACATCTGAGAAACTGCTGATATTACTTGATTCCTCTTCTTTCGCTTTGAGCCCTCGCAATGGCTCGTTTCAACTTATTATCAAATTGACTCCTGCCCCCGAGGACTTGATGCCAACACATAGTATAGCCGTCTGCACACACTCAGGGTCTTCCACTGAATACCACGTCCTGCCTGCCTTCTTGTGACTATCATAACAATACTTGACGTTTTGTACAGCGCATTATATCATCTCTAAGGCATGTGAAAGCGCTTCACATGATAAACTGTAAAGTTTTGTGACTGCGTATTGTATGGGCGAAACTATATAAACAATTGGAGTAAACAGAGATAATCAAACAGTCGCGTGTCGAGTCCCATTTTTTTTAGGGATATTTACCCTTGAAAGCGATTCGACAATTGACTATCGGATTCCAACTTCGTGTTCTGCAAACAGAGGCGTATGGAGTGAGGAAAGTTGATTAAGGTTTCAAAGGAAACTTGCATTTGTTCATCAAAGCGCTGAAAGATTCGTTATTAAGTGCGATTACACTTTAGCATTCCTGCTCCTGAAAGCTGCCGTGAACCTATGGGGTGAGTGTGCTTTACAGAAATTGTATGTAGTTCTACTTAAATTAATGGGTGAGTTCCACAAACAAATTGTTTTGCATTTACCAGGTGTCAGTGGTCAGGATACAGTCCCCCAGTCGCCACTCCCTGTGACTGTTGCGGAGAAGGAAGAAGTAATTATCAGCTGTTTCACAACAGAATCGCGGGCATTACAATGATACGGACAATATCCGAACCAGGCCCTCAAACACTTGGTAACAGGACAGACAGGAGAGCAGCAGAAGAAGAAGATCACAGCTACAATGAACTATAGAGAGAAGGGCAGTAATCTGAGCATCACAGGCACAGAAGTAACAGACGCCGCCACCTACGTGTGTGCAGTGGAGACACAGTGACACAATCACATAGAGAGACCGTACACAAATCTCCAGTGATCAGTTTCATTACTCCACATGCACTCCACTCTTCAGTGAGTAGGAACCCGGTTCTTTGTAATTTGGCGGTAAGCTTTACCAGGGTAATACTGCCTTAAAAATTTATAATTTTAAAACATGACAGAAATCTATGGGATAGTTTTTGGGTCAATTGAATATGAAAATATATTTAGAAATATTACATTCCGTTGGGGTCTTTCACAAGGGAAGAATTTGCCAAGGGAGTTTTCGGAACGATGCTGTGGGAAATTTGCAGCTGCACTGCTCCAAATTAATGTATAATCAATTCATATTGCATGATATCGTGTGAGGCCATTTGAGTCGCCTCGATGATGTGACCAGGTCGTATATAAAACGCAATGATAATCATAGTGATTACTGCTATTATATGCTGTGAATCGCATCGACATATCTCGAATCCATGATTAGGCGCTCTATCGAAGGCAACAAATATTATTATAGATACAGAGATGTTTATATTCCACAGCTTATGAAGAGAAAATTATGGTAATCCTGTAAGTAGACAGATGGCGTATCAATCCCTTTGATTAATAAAAAAATTGAAAGTACGTAATCAGAATTTAGCCTCACATAGATTTGCCACCCGTAGTCTTGTCACTTATAACAATAATAAATACCTGTTGCATTTGATATAGCGCCGTTCACGTCTTCTAGACGTCTCAAAGCGCTTCACAGATTATACTGTAAAGTGAATTGACCGTATATTTGTGGGCGAAACGCTGCAGTCAATTGCGCACAGCATAGTACCACAAAGAGTCTTGGAATGAATCTGACCTATTTATTATTGTTTTGGATGGATTACTGTTAAGCGTTTGGAAAAAGGAAACTTGTCCAAAACTCGTGACGGTCTTTTCCTGGAGATCTGCGAAGATAATTAATCAAGATGTGTCCTTCGAAGAAGAAAGCAAGTTCATTTACACAGGCACATTGACATGCACAGATGGCAAACAGATATGCAACTCACGCAATTGTTTTTGATGAACTGAAATAAGGGTGTAACTTGCTGTAGATATCAGACACCTATTCGGCTGAACGAAGACATGTCAGTGATGGAGGAGAACCAATGGAGGAGCGAGATGTCAGAGCAGAGAAGATGACGCACAATGACAGAAACACAGTTTGTACATATCCCACAGACATGTTCCCTTACAGTATATGTTAACTTCTGCATGTTGTTTCCTGTTCAGCCCTCCTCACGGCATTTCACAGCCTCCCAGTCAACATACTACAACTGCACCATCAACGCTCTATCATCGCCACCTGCCACTAAGTACATATGGCAATGTTTATCTATGTGGCTGCAGTGATCATTACCTTGTCAGGTAAGCGATGAACTGGTTCTGTCAGACTGGTTCCTGACCGTATTATCCAACGCTTAATTTTTACTGCATTAAATATCCAATATGTAATATGACTCGCAGATTCTTGTAGCTCATTGGAGAGCGAATTGGCCTCGCAAGCGATAGCAACTCTGTTCGATTGAAACCTTTGACAAGTTGCCTTACTCTGCACATTATCCGTTTACACAGCTGCCATTTAGTTCCTGGATTGATGGATCTCATTTAGGGGCTAATAATTATTTAAAAGTACTACGACTGCTAGCAATGCGATCACACGTCTCGCCGACAAAATGCACAGTCACGTTATGTTCTGTGAAGTGTTTGGTGACACAGCAACGACGATATAAGGCGCTGTCCCAAATAAAATTATAATTATTGTTGTTGTTGTTGTATTTCTGTTTCCCAGCATGGTGTGGTGGGGAAAGTGTAACACAACTCCAATCGGTTGTGACAGTGACTGAAGGGGAGGATGTTTCTCTGCAGTGTAATTATACAGCTACAGGCGGCATCAGTGACTATCTGTTCTGGTACCGACACTCTTTCAACAAAGCTCCAGAATATATCCTTCGCACAGACACCAACAACAGGATCAAACACGAGGCCGACTTTGCAAAAGAACGTTTCTCAACGAATGTGTCTAAAGCGGAGAGAACCGTCCCATTAAATATATTGCACGTGAGAGTTACGGACTCCGCGGGGTATTACTGTGCACTGAGCCCCACAGGGGCACAGATCAGCGATTCCACCCTACAAAAACTGCCATGTGGAACCCTGTAGCTCAGTGGTTATAGCACTCGCCACACAAGGGAGAGACTTTGGTTCAATTCCCAGCAGAACGAAGCATTGTGCAACTTTACTTATTCCACACATACACGTCTCTGGTTACCAGCAGTAAGTGGGAAGCAGGTTGTTAATAGATTGGCGTTTCGATTTTCCAGAGATAACAATTCCTTCGGAATATTAGCGTTGATAATAAATTGGGCACTTCATGCACTGGGATAGCGATGTGTACAATTTGTAGCAGTGCTTTGCACTCACAATATACAGTCAATTCATTTACGGTATATTCTATGAAGCACTGTGTGGCGTCCCGAAGATCTGATACGGCGTAGTATCAAATGCAACTGTTATTGCTATTAATGTTATTAACTGTAGTCATGTTATCATCCAAGTAATAAGTAAAAAATGTCTTGCCTCTGGGGAACGCTGTCACTTGCACGATTCTTTCTGTGCTGCTTTATTCAGTAAGAAAACATCAAAATAAACAAGTTCCATTTATGTAGTTTCCCCAAAAACTATTTCCTCTATTTATTGAGAAACTGTTTATTCTGGTTGGTTGGGGAATGTAGAAGTAAAAGTGCATTATCCAGTCCAGTTAGCAGAGACAATTAGAAAAAAAATTATGAAAAATGTAAGGAAATCTGGAAAATTTCCACAAAGATTCTGGGGATGTTAGTTCCGTTCCTATTATGCAGACGAAGTTGGATACATTTATTTTCGGACAGAATTTCAATCGATTGGGGGAAACGGCTGGAATATGAGCTGAGGGATGTATCAGCCAAGATATGAATTAACGTTGGAAATGGCTCAAGGAGCAGAATGGCCTCTTGGTATTCCAATTTAGCGCTTTCCACTTAGGGGAGCGTTTTGGCGATGAACTAAAAAGGCAAGTCAGGCAGCAAATGTTTGCACAGAGAAATGACAAATTAAGGAATGTGACCGACGTTGCACAGGAATGTTCCAGGGAAAAACAGAAGATAGGAGTAACGAGCAGGAAAATGTGACAAATATATCAAATTCCAATGCAAAAACAAAAACAACTATATGCTGCGAAACCCCACCAAATGTATATGTGCTGTAGCTACAATCCATCAGCAGATGGCGCACCAAACAAACACATGGAACATGAGCTGCAATTAACATAACTTGTCACGTTGCTTTCTGTCACTTGCTTACTTTGCAGCAGTAACAGGTGCTTCCTGTTGCAGTTGACAGTGTTCACTCATACACATTATTGCAGCTTCAACTGAAATTACCAAATACTTGCCTAAAGTATTCACACAAGGCTTAGGTTGATCAAGAAACAATTTCTATGCCGCATGTTGAATATTATTGCCTTCATCCCAAATAGCAGCCGCTAATAAGTAGTTTTATCTAAGTTGAAAGTTGTAACCGCAACGGCTTCAGTTGACCTTTCAGGCAACGCGTTGAAGATCGGAATAACTTGCTGTGTGAAAAAAATATACGTCTCTGACATATTGAAATGCGACTGAAAAGATCACTGTGTAATATGTATTGGATTTTTTTTTCTGTTCTGGGCTGACACTCTAGAGCAGGCCTGGCTGTCTTTATTGTCGGTGAAGCTCGTCCTAACGAGTTGATATTAAACCCAGGTCCAGGCGGTTTGTATGAAGGGACTATGAAAATGCCATTGCACTGCTCGAGAAATAACCAGGTTTCCAATGCTGTCTGGGCAGACTTTCCATCTATAAAATTCATCCTTCATTCATAGCTGTTTCTGGGACAATGCTGTGCACAAATTGGGAGCCAAGTTGACAACCACGCTGACTCTGTACTCGACATTGAAACCAACGAGGAGTTTTGTGGCGTATTGACCAAATGACAAGGCTGTATTTGATAAAAGCATTTCTCAAACACGGTTAATGAACACAAATGTAAGGGTATGTCTTATTCAACACTGTGATAATAACGATAATAATAACAAAGATTGCATTTGATATACTGCCATATTATGTCATTGAGATGTCTGAAAGCTCTGCACAGAATACGCTGGAACGTCGAGTGACTATATTGTTTGATGCCAATTGTGTACAGCAGTGTCCCACAAAATGTTGTGGTTTGAGTTGCCTTACTTTGCGGCACTGTGGGTGTGGGATAGTGTTCGGGTGTGGATTGGAGGAGGTGAAGTGGTGGGAGGTGTGTGGGGCGTTAGATTGTATTGTGCGGGTCAAACTTGGTAGTCAAATGTGCAAAACAGTGGCCCACACAATGTTGTGGGTTGAGTGACGTGATTGTGTGGCACTGTGTGTGTTTGTGTGCGGGGAGTGGAGGGGGCGGCGCGCTGTGTGGGCGGAGCGCTGTAAAGTAACGGCAGTGATTGGTCGATGAGGCTGAGTGCGGGCGGGGCAGCGACTGAGTGACGTAGCACTGTGGGCGAGGCAGTGGCAGTGTGGGCGGGGATATGTGTGGGCGGCGCAATGACTGAGTGACGTAGCTCTGTGGGCGTGGCAGTGGCTGTGTGAGCGGGGCAGTGACTGAGTGACGTAGCTCTGTGGGCGTGGCAGTGGCTGTGTGGGCGGGGATGTAACTGTGCGGCTACTGAGCCAAAAGGCCCCATCAATCCACATTGGGGAGTTAATGTCAGACACGGGATCAGGATGCTCATGTGGGAGACATGTGCTGTGCTCTCAATCACTCTCAGCTTACTTTGCCGTTAGTGTCTTTTGTATACCTTCTTTTTCTAATATCTTGTTATACCTTTTGACGCATTATAATATTAATAATCATTGCATTTGATATAGTGCCTTATCCTTTATTCGAGCCGATTGTGCACAGCAGTTTTCTTCAAATAATCATGGATTGAATGACCAAATTATTATCTGTTTCATTATTGATCCATTATTGAAGGGCTAATTACCCCTGGACAAGAGAGGCGCCAATCGACTGGTAAACGTGTTCCTATTTACTGCTTCTTAAACAAAAGCGTATGGAGTAGGGAAAATTTCCTCAGCTTTCCCCTGTCCTGATATCAAAGCCGCATAACTCTTGCTTCTGAGGCGAATGCTCTCACCAATACACTACAGTCTCCATATTAGACAAACTTGCTGCTCAACAATATTTTCTTTTAAATCCCAGGAAACAGCCTGCAAGACATTGGGAATCAACCGATTGCTGAAATATCAGTTGAAGAGGGTAAAGATGTGAAATTATCCTGCGCCTTAAAGAAAATCAGTGATGCGTACAGTCTCTTTTGGTATCGACAAGCCTCCAGGAACGCTCCTGTCTACATTCTTCTGTCTGTTGCAGGGAAGGATAATAAGAGCCCTGACTTCCAACAACGATTTTCGTCCAAAGTCGATAAAACGAAAGAAGATTTCAAACTGAGTATTGCCACCGTCCTGATCGGGGACAGTGCCGTGTATTACTGCGCCAACGAGCCCACACTGCTTCCGTGGTGTGGCGACTCCGTATAAAAACTGCAACTGGTTCATTTGCTGCTGAACCGCGAGGGGGAACCATTGCATCAAGTAAAATTAAAACAGCATTTATATCTGTTGACTTATATAGTCCAGTGCTCTATTGGTTTGACCTGAGCTAATTCAGCTCGCAAGCGTGAAGACTTGGGTTGGATTCCCGGGTGGGACAAAACATTGGGCAGATTTCTTTTCTCCACACACATACCTCTGCCTTCCTATCAGTTGTAGGAACACGTTTGTCATTCGAATAGCGGATCGCTTTTCCAGGAGTAGCAATTCCTTAAAATTTATAACAACAATTTGGTAACTCAATCGTTTACTCTTTGTGTGCAATAGACGACCACGTTTCAAGTGTCACAATCACAATGTCGTTGCTATACATAATATAATATAACATAATTTTATTTTGCCTCTGTCTTTCTCGCAGACGCAGGAACACGGTTGGTAGTCTCTTGGCTGATCGCTTTACCAGAATTCATAATCCCTTAAAAAAATAACAACAAGTTGTTCCCTGAAAATATGAATACTCGTGTCCAGTAGACGACCCGCTTCGCCTCCAGTAATCTCTGTACAACATAACGCAGCACATAATATTCTGCGAAACGCTTTCTGTCATCCCAATGGCACCATAAGGCGCTTTATCAAATGCAATCATAAATATAATCATCATTATTATAATAATAATAATAATCCTTGCATTTGATTTAGCGCTATTCACGTCGGGAGGACGTCCCAAAGCGCTTCACAGAACACACTGTAAAGTGAATTGGCTGTATATCTGTGGGCGAACGCGGCAGCCAATTTCGCACAGCAATGTCTCACAAACAGTGCGAGATTGCAAATGACCAATTTATTATTGTTTTTGGATTTGGAGGAATTATTGTTAGGCTCTGTCTAATAATTATTATTATTGTCAGGATCTGGGCTCATTCCTCAGGACATCTGGACGTACAGCTCAGTGGTTAGAGCACTCGCCTCGGAAGAAGGAGAGATTGGTTCGATTCTTATTCGGGCAAATTTTTTTGGCACTTATCCTTACTCCACACGGTTTGGCTTAACATTGCAGTAAATAGTAACCCGGTTGCTACTCAGATGGCTGATAGATTTCAGTGGTAACATTTCCTTAAAAAAGGGCTAAATAAGTCATTCAAGCCACAAATATTTGTGGGCGACGTATGTGCGTAATGATCTGCCGCACTGTCCCACAACTTATGCAGTCAATTAACTTTACAGTGTACTCCATGAAGCGCTTTGAGACGTCTCAATGACGCGATAAGGCGCTTTATGGGTTATTGTTATTTTTACCTTTATCTGCTTCAGTCTTTGTAACTCGCTTCCTCTACAGTGTCTCTTTCACACATGACTGTGGTTTGCCACTGCGAGGCGGAGGGAATCTGAACTTAAAAGATAGGAGGAGTCGCAATACATCTCCAGCAATGAACAGAGACAGAGTAATGACGCGAGGATAAGAGTCAACGTCTCAAGTGAGCCAACGTTTATCCACCAGGTACCGACTTTAGATGATTTCTGGTTGCAATTCATCAGGTTATATTGACGTGG